GACACTACGAGAACACACTACGCTCTCGAAGAATAAAGGGGGGAAAAAAAAAAGAAAACAAAAGAAATCAGAACGTGATTACACGTTGTAACCTAACGTAAGATAAGCAACTGACGAAACATGCCCAAAAATTAATTACGGCATTCATGAAACGTATGTCGATGATTGGATATTGAATGAGTATGCATGTCCTGGCGACGAACTAAGATGTGAATCGATAGCGATAATGAGTAAATTGATAAGAACCAAAAAGGAATAAAAACGTATTGTATGTACATATGACATACTTATGGGTAATACGTTCGACTGCGACTGCGAAGTCAGGCATCGGGGAGGATCAACGAAAATCATAAACTGCTCAATTATTTGCGGCCGCAGCTATATAATACTTAACTGACTCACCGTAGGTGAATGGAGTCTCAAAACGAGCACATACAACGAAAAAAAACGAGACCAAAGAAAATTTTGAAAAAAGCCAATCCGGTGCGAAAAGAATGGAGATACGTAACTCAAACAGAGGAAGTAACAAACGAGGCACGCATGAATGATGAACTATGATGAGAGAGAAATAAGAAAACGACAACGGTTTGGTCAAAATCAATAATACATAATCCAGGGAAGCGTCTATTCGTAAAACATGCCCAAAAATATGTTTACGGCACACACAACAAATGTATGAAAGATAGATAGATAGATAGATAGATAGATAGACAGAAAGTTCTGCGTCTAATTCCGGGCGCGAAAGTTCGTCGTGATACAAAATAGCTGGCAAATTACTGTAGTATACAATATCGCTATATTGAATCGTAGCGCAGAAACAAACACGTGACTTAAAACACCCATCGCTCGTTAACGTTGTGGCTTAACACGCTGTGTGGCACGAATTAATGTTAATGCGTTTCTTGTTGGCCCGCGAATTCCCGATAAGACAAGCGGACTGTATCGATAAATAATATTTTAGTGTATGTGTAATAATTATAAGCTGATGACACATCTTTGCATTGAGGCTCGTGTGCGTGGCACAACGTTGATGGGGAAAGTTCGCGGAAAATGGCGGACTAAACGCGAATGACGAAACGTTTTGCTGCATCCCTTTCCAGCTACCATTAAAGCAAGGTCCTAACGAGTAAACTCTCCGGAATTAATCCTCCGAAATGTCACTAACGTTACTAACAGCGCGGTGTGTGGAATTTGTGGTATTCGCGAGAACGCTATGTGAATACAAATCGGCAAGATCTAGCTTAATAAGAATATTTATAAAGGATTTAAAGATCAAGTGGTTTAAGTTAAAAAAAATTAAAGTAAGAAAAAGGAGCATATACCACACGCTGGTTCAAAGTAGCGAAAATATAGTGTATTTATTAATACTAAAAATCACATAACTATAAACGTTTCGGTCCTTAATGTGACCATCTTCAGTATATAAAACAAAAAATTTTTCGTGCTTTTTATTTTCTTCGTAGTCCGTATAATAATGCTAATGAATTTATTTAATCAATGGATTCGTCCAGGGTTTGAGAACAAAAGTTTCCAGACTCTGTCTCAAAGGAGATTTCAACGGAATCCATGTGTGCGGACTTGACGTTAATCGTTACGGAGAGAGAATGACAAACTTGCGAGAAATTATGCTTCAATACATATTATCATTTAGAATATATTAGAAGAAAAATTTTTTGTTTTATATAGTGAAGATGGTCACATTAAGAACCGAAACGTTTATAGTTATGTAATTTTTAGTATTAATAAATACACAATATTTTTGCTACTTTGAACCAGCGTGTGGTATATGCTCCTTTTTCTTACTTTAAGAATATTTATTATGCTAAGAATATTAGGAAAAGAAATCCCATAAGAATTTACGATATGAAGACATTTTTCAAAATCGTAGCAAAATTTAATCTAAGTAAAAATTATTAGTATTTATTAAATTGTAAGGTACACTATAATAGAATATCTTTCTCATATAAAAGAAATAAGTAAAAAATAACAATTAGAAAATTATAAACGCGTGGATTATAGAATTATAAGAAATATCCTCGTACATGAGAGAAGTGATTTTGCTGAAATATCTGAAAATTTAGTTGAATTAAAAAATTGGTTAAATCATTAAAATAATTGTATAGTAAACTCTCAAGACTAATGAGCCATGTAAAAAATTTTGATATGCTATAGCAACCAGCTAGGAGACTCAAAAATAATGAGCTATGTTGTAAAAAATGTTGATATGCTAGCAATCTTGAGCGTTCTATATAATTATTTTGACGCGATTTAACAAAATTATTTGTTGTTGTTTATCTAGCTAAATTTTTAGATACTTCAGCAAAATCGTTCTTTCCGAGTACAATATACAGAGATATAATTTACACCATGCGCTACATGCTCCCTTCAAAATTCAAATCAAATTACAGCTTTGCTCACAACTTCCGATTATGCATTTACATTGTTTCTCGTTAATATACTTGCGAAAAATCGAATTGGCGCGTGTTCGAATGAGATAAGCGGAATATTTGCGTGACACGGTGTACAGAACTCATATACTGAATTTACAATAAAATGTATTATCTTGCACCGACAACGCGTGACCGTTGCATCTGGTACTTCTCGTTCAGCGTGTACGTATGTAATTAGCCAATTCGTTCTCGCCGGAAGTCCATGTGTCTCCGCGAGAGACCGCACCGTTAAAAGCGGTACGTCAAGCGCAAACTACCCATTACTAACGTTTTTTCGACACGGCTTTTGGTATCCCGCTACAAAAAGACGCATTTGCACTAGTCAGCTATATTTTTCCACCAACAGGCTATCGCACAATCCGACATGACTTATTCGCTATATTTTTTTGCAAAGTCATATATTTTGAAAGGATCTCGCACTAATTATATGGAATTGCATCTCGGTGAAATAAATTAGTTTTCACATATATAATATAATGTAATGATAAGCAAAAGGTATTATAGATACAAGGTTCATAATGGATCATTTTTGAACTATGATCAAAGTTATGTAAAGTATGTATCAAAGGTGTTAGCACAAATTTTTATCTTTGGCATTATATATCTCGGAAATTATCCATTACATATATTATTAAAGCTTGTGTCTATAACTACTTTCTTTCTTCACTATATTACAAACTACATTATACGTGAAAACTATTTAATTTTACCAGGACCAAATTTTATATAATTAATGCAAGATCCTTTAAAATAAAATATAAAATGTTTTTTTAATTTTTTTATGAAGCAATAAATGTGGTATATGATGTAAAACAATATATGTTCTATATATCAAGGAATTGATCATAATAGTTCTAACACTAATTGTATTATAATATAATTTCTTCTAATTTTTGTTTTTAATTATAACTTACTAAATACCTATATTAGTGCAATTCCTTTGTAAAACTATTGTATTTTTTCTTCTTATTCATGCGAGTAATCTTCACGCAACAATATACTGAAAAAGAATATATTAATTTTTAGTAGGTATAGTTCTTTGAATAGTTATAAATAAATACTTACTAAATGTTTAAACATACTTTTGTATTTGATATAAGAACTATTAAATTGGTTTAACAATCGTCTTTTTTATTGAATAAATATTTATTTACTGTAAGTATAAATGTTCACTTAGTACTCAGAAAATTTGTATCAAGATTTAGCAAATTTTTTAAGTATAGGCGACGAATAAATATTATATTTAACATAGTGATAATAGCATGGCTCTACATACTTGTGTCGATTATTATGCAATAATAGGATTTTGCACTTTGTTCAGAGAAATGCACTCTAGTGATAAACGCGTCGAGATGGATACTCAACACGGCTCTTGCTCGGTTCTCAAACCGTTTCTTATATTCCCGCGAATTACGATCTATAGATGAAAAGCGGTCGTGTCGTTTATTCAATTTAGTTTACACGGGAGAGACGTCTTACTGACGTCGTGGTATAGGAAGAAATTAAATCTCGCTGCAGAATTGATTAAAGCACTCGTGAAACGATGAAAATAGCTTGATATCTGCGTGTCGAGATGCAGCAAAATGTTTCAAGAACATAATCCGCTTAGCGGAGTCTACATAATCGCATTGTTCGCAAGTGCGTTCACATTTAAGCCGAAAAAGATAAAACGCCAACGCTAACGAAGCCGATATCTCGCGAACGGGTATATATATATATATATATATACATCGTTCACCGCGCCTATAAATATGCATATATTGTATCCTGGCCCGTTTGAATACGTCTCGCGTGTTTGTACAAATGCAAAAGACTCGAACGAAGGTGGCTCCGAATCTGAAGCGATGGTTCCTATATACGCAGTGTTTCCCAGAAGGGGAACCTAGAATTCGCCAAGTAAAATTTAGTACTTATCTTGAAAAGTTTAGCCTAATATTTTGACTGCTCTTGATATTCGCGGTAGTTAATATATAAATCTAGTACCTATATAATTTTCGAATACCGACAGAAAGGATTTTGCTAATTTTTTAACAGTCGTTCTATTCTCCTCTCGAAGCTAGGCTATTATTTCTTTGTGTTACTTTTTTTTTTTAGAATTCTCTTAAAATTGAAATGCCTTGAGATATCTGAATTTTCTTTACGTTACTTCTCTCGCTAATCTGTTTCCCAGTTTCCCGTCAAAAGAACCATCGCTCTAACGTCCTGCACCGAAAATCCTTCAATATCCTCCACGATCCTTGATCGCAGACGTATATTCCCTGTACACTCGACATTCCGATCGTGTCTTCCACGAGTGAACCCTATATGCGAACATAAGTGTATACTGCGTATGGTTGCGAGCGAGCGAGCGAGCGAGCGAGTTAGTGGCGCGCGCCGCGCCGCCTCTGCGAGTGTATGACACGTGTTTGTGTGTATGAGTGTGTTGAGATGCGTGTAATGTGGATTCGTACACAATATCAATTAACGTGCACAAGAACAATACTGCCACGAGATTGCGTGCAGGGCGGGTTCGTGCAGAGAGCCGCACGGAGCATTGACAGTGTGACAGACCTGGCTTTAATAGACACAACTTTAGCCCCGACGGCCATGTTCTCTTTAATGTAGATCGGGCCATACACTACGTGGTCCCATACGGGCGGATTATTCGCACGGTCCACAACGTCAATCTGAACCTCCACCGTTCGCGACAAGGGTGGGTAGCCCCTGTCTTTGGCCATCGCCTCCAGCTTGTACGTCTCGCGCTACGGCCAGACCGCGTGTATAACAAACGGGAACAAAAAACAACGGCGTTAGTGTCAAGGCGCCAAGGCCCGTGGCAGGGGGAGAGTGCATGGTACATGTTGTTCTCCCCGTTGTACTTTTCGAGAGAGGCGGGGAAGAAGCTTCTCTCTCCCTTACATCCGCTGGGCACGTCACTCGCGGAGAGACGCCCTGCTTCGGTTATTCGCCAACGCCTGGAAGATTTTGGCGCGAGCGCGAGCTCGCATTATATGCACGCACTCTCGTGCCAAATTTGCACATTCGGTGAGATTATAGCAAAAGCGCTCGCAATCGCGATTGCGCGATGCGTGGCTCTTGAACAGTACGAGCTCCGGGTGACGAGCGGCGTGATGGACGATCGACGATCCGCAACCTGTATTTCTGCGCGAGAATATCGCAAAGGCACAGCAGACTCTCTCGCTACACATCCTTGCTTAAACTATATGAATACGCTAGAAACGTCTGTGGGTCACCGCTCCGCCTTTCCACAATTGTAATTGTTATTGCGTAATATTCGCTATGACCCGCGTAGTGGTCGCTGCGTCTTCGGAGTCTTTGAAGGAGCACGGTCCCTTGTCACTCCTTTGTCGAGCGATTCGTCGAGAGCCTGTTCAGTTTCCAAGTAAAGTAAGTTTACAGTTATGAAACAATCTTATAAGACAGTAATAAGAGATTTCTAAAGGTTTCGTTGGTGTAAACAGTCCTGTGTAATTATCTGTTGTAAATTTAGCTTTAGAAAACAAGGTTTGTGATTATGTGATACCTCAAAATCAATTTGAAAATAAAGGTTTCTTTAAGGCAATATCCACGTTACTGCTATTAATAAATTGAGAAAAACTATAATATATAAATTTCATGAAAATTTTCCATTTTACAAAGAAAAAACGCTAAGGAAACTGCTCAGCCATTCGAAAATTGTAATGTGATGTATCAATCCACAGGACAATTCACTTTAAAGCTATACAATTGTCGTTTATTGATGACATTTAAAACTTACTCCACTTAGAAATTAAAGGACTCGATTATTTCCGTGGGATTTCTACCCGATTGAACTCTCGCTGCCTTCAAATATCGTCGAAGAGCGATCACCGCGGCTCGCTACAGTACATATTGGGAAAAGATAGTGGTAGCAGTATAGTAATAGTAGTTGTTGTAGTAATAGGAGAAGGAGTGTCCGCCAATCAGCGATCTACCGCGCCGCGCTTACCCATAAGTGCTTCCGCAACCAAAAAAAAGGAACAAGATAGTATGTTCTATAAAAAGAATGTGTCTAAAAAGAGAAATAGGTACGAGAAAATGAACAAAATAGAGATTGAATGTTGTGATAGGATCGAAAACACACACAGAATAGAACAGAGGTAAAAAGAGAATCTAAAGTGTATCAGAGAGAGTAAATCCAAGTGCATAAAGGAAATCAATGGGACAGAAAGACAAATACAATACGTAAGTAATTGAATGGGGAAGAAACAAAAAGAGAAAAACAAAATAAGTTAGGGGTGGTCAACAGATCAAAGAGAGAGAAAAAGAGAAAAAAAAAGAGAGAGAGAGAGATAGAAGGGATAGCACTGCATGGCACGGCACGGCATGTCACGTGTCTTGTCTCGGTCATGTCGTGGCATACAAACCTGGCTTTCACCGACGTCACTACAGTACCCACTGTGACATTTTCTTTGATGTGAATGGGGCCGTATACATTCGCATCCCACACAGGTGGTTTATTGTTTCTGTCTACGACGTCTAACTCAACGTCCACGTCTGCGGACAAGACTGGCATCCCTCTGTCGGAGGCCCGTACTCGCAGGCGATAGCTGTCACGCTAGTGGCAAAACATTGGGCCGTCAACTTATAAGACATTTTCTTTCGGGATTTTATAGTTGGCGGTTTTTTTTTGTTTTTGCGATTTTGTTTTCCGTTTCGTCACTCTTTTTACTTTTCTTTTCTTTCGTTTTTTTTTTTTTATTCGTTTCTTTTCCGTTGGAGTTTACGAAAGAGCTAAAGGCGTCACTCGGCGTCGAGCGCGTCCATATGAGAAAGTACCCTCGACGGTCTTTCTGCTTTTTATTCGCGAGCGAAATTGAAACGGAAGAAGAAGAGAGAGAGAGAGAGAGAGACAGAGAGAAAGACGAACAGAGATAGATAAGATAGATAGAAAGAAAAACAGAGAGATAAAGGACCGTGCAGTCTCGTAGGTATCCTGGTGGACATGGGTGACTCCGCTGCGTGTTACCTCGGTGATAGATTCACTGCCTTCCTAATGTAGAAATCCATTAATTTTCCTAATAATTTTTGCCCAATTTAATAAAAGTGCATCGCTTATATAAGAACAAGATTTACTGCAATGAACTCAAACGTGCTGTAAAGTAGTTTTTTCGTGAGTAATTTTGTGAATGATTGCAACATACACAGTGACGTGATGGTGACGGTGATAATGATGAAAATCATGATGATGATGATGATGATGATTGTGATAATAATGATGAAAATACTACATCGCCGACTTCTGTTGATTAACAAAGCAATGACAGTATCGATATAAACACACACACACACATTTAGTAATTAATTTTAATCAAATAAAATCAATTTAATTAAATCAAATTTAATTAAAAATAGATTACAAAGATTATGGACAAATGTAGACGATGTAGTTGGTATAGATGATACCTACCTGTCGAATGCACACGCTTGCATATTTGAGCTCATTGCTGTACTGATTATATTAGTTAATTAATGGCATTAATGCAAACACACTTTTATCAGTGCGATGTTATTTAATTTAATTTAATTTTATGTCAACAAAGATATTTAGTAATTGCATAACATACTGTATCGTACAAAAATATTATATTAATTTAAAAATCTCTCTAATAAAAAAAGTGCATTTTTTTAAATCATTTAATACTACGTTGATTGCATTAGGTAATGTTATGCTTATCCGAGATAACACGAAAGCGGAAGATATACTAAATGCTTTAGAATTGCTTCCTTCTGTCTATAGATTCTTTAAATACATTTTGTCTCAGTTAAGTTAATATTTTATCTTATTTGTAAATGCTTTATAAATATTCGATATATTTTATTTGTATGCTAGATTCTAAAATTCTAGATTCTAACAATAAGATGTTAATTTTTTTTTTACTTGAGAAACAAGACTGAATCATTTTGTCTTTAAGTAATACAAATTCTTAGGTAAATGTCTTCAAACATCGGAGAATCTATATTTAAAAAGTAGCAAATATTTCTAAATCATCTAATATACATAATAGAGTGCAACAGCGGGTGAATAGTATATATAATAGAAGATAAATATATTAAAATTATAAATATAAAAAACTTGTATATCGTGAAAAATTAATAGAATTAAATTGAATTAAATACCTCAGTGAAAATTTAATTTTCAAAGGATAATCTTTAATATAATGCTTTAATGTAAAATTCTCTTTGACATTCTATTCACCCGCTGATCTTAAAGTAAACATCGACGCGATTTATGTTAATAAAAAAAAGCGCCGCATCATAACAATTATTTGAAAACCGATTCTACAATCGGTATCCTTCGTCCCCAAGTGAACGTTTGTTTGCGAATATTTGTCTATAATTGGGATCTTGTTATATCTCATAAGATTTCTAGTAACGAAAACTATCAGCACTCTTCCTGGAACATTAAAAGTAATTATTGAAACTGTTCCGGTCAAATGGAACTAGATCCCTGTACAATATTCAATATCCAACGGACGATTTAATTCAATATAGCACAAATAAAATATGTACGTTTTAATTATAATTCTATTATAATAAATAAGCCAATTAATATTTAAAAAAGTGCTGCTATGTGAAATCGTTACAAATTGTGTTATTACAAACTATGGTAACAGTAATAGTAAAAGTAATAAATAAAAACTCAACGTTGTGATTTTTGGAAAGCAAATCGTATTTAGTGCGCAATTATATTAAAAAATGATAATATTATAAACTAATTTAATTATAACTCTGAATTTGTAATAAGAATTTAATTAAAGATTAATGTATTCAAATTTTTTTCGTTAAGATTGATCGCATTAAAATGTTAATTTTTGTTTTATCATGAAATAAAATAATTTTTTGATCTCTTTATTTTTAAATAATTTAGCAAGATGAAAATTCAATATATAAAGAAAATATAATATAGAGGAGGATATCCGCTGTTTATATTAAAATTTGCGAAACGTCCGTTGGATATTTAGCACCGCGGATAAATTGACAGATCAATGGTGGCGCAAATTAGCACAATAGAGGCATCCTTCACCTATGAATACATACGAGACCAGGATAAAAGAACGAAAATAGCGCGGCAGCACGTGTGTATGTACATAAAAAAAATACATCGCGCGTGATACAAAGAATTTCGAGAAATGCTCGAGAAGAAATGATCACATATAAAAATATTTGATAGAAATTGAGCAACAAGAAGAGAAAAATATAGAGCACAGAGTAGACAGATAGAAATAGAGAGAGTAAGAGAGAAAGAGAGAAAAAGAGAGTGACGTCTCCGAGTGACAACGATAACAACAACAGAGGCGAAAAATCAACGAAACGATAGAATGTTGAATAATCGAACGGAAAGGCGCTCTAATATTAGCAATAAATATTATACTTTTCTTTTGCGCTGGTATAACAATGGTCACATCATGATGTGTCTCGATGCAAGGTGTGAAACACAAGAATATAGATCCTACTTACTGGAAAACAGCCCTTTTTTTTTGTCATCATCAAATCCGAAGAAAGTAAATGGTGCAATGAACACAAACATAAACAATAAGAAGTTCAAATTAGTTTCTTTACGAAATCAACCAATGCAGGCATTTTCATGCAAGCGAGAATGCGATAAAGAGGCATCGGGAGACGAGGGAGGGAAAAGAAAGGGCGGGATACAGAGAAATTGGTAACAGAGGGTAAATTGGTGGAAGGTTTTTCGGGGGGAGAGGGTTAAGACGGGGAGAAAAAAAAAATTATGACGACCCCTCGTCTGATTCGTTCTCGTTTAACGACACTCAAAAACCGATGGACGTTATTTTTGATCGTCGTGATAGTTTAATCCGCACGTTTTCGGCTTTCCTCTTTCATTCCGTGATTACTTCCGTTCACTTTCATTCTTCCCGTTTTCGTCACGACAGTGGTATGCCGCCCCAATCACAGAAGAAAAAATGTCACACCACGGACAGTTCTCTTATGATCTATACATATGTACACATATCGATACATTGGTAAACGCTCTCAATCAAAAATACTTTTCATGTTCTTTTCCTTTTCTTTGTCAGTCACGTCGTGGTACACCGGGAGAATGGGATGAAAATCGGGAAACGTCAGAGAGAAAGTGTATTAGAGAAAGAGAGAAAAGAAGTATAGGAAGAGTGAAACGTAAAGAAAGATACGAAACATAAACTGTCATGTCATGAGCTAAAAGAAATAGTAATTAAACAAGAAACTCAAGCTTTGTTTAACATACAAATCAATCAAAATAGACAGATATAGATAGAAAAATTTATCAAACTTATAAAAATAATCATAACTTAAATAATAGGCAGGCACAATATTCAGAAAAAGTAATTATCGCCGTTACAACCAAATGCAACATACTGAAAATTAATTGTAAACGAAAAGCAAAAAAATATAATGTTTCAGAAATTCAGAGATAGACGTAAGTAGATAAAGATAATGAGAGAGACAGAGAGAGAGAGAGAGAGAGAGAGAGAGAGAGAAAGGGCGAGGATGGATGTAGGAGCGAGAGCGAGATCCGTTCCTGTAAAGGAATCAAAAACACATTCATATAAAATATGCAAGCATTGTCAAAAATTGTTTATGTCTGATGCACCACAAAATGCGTAGAGGTTGAAGTACACCGTACGTGGGGCTCAAAAAATGTTGTTCCCACCTGCTCCTGGAAGTTCAAAAAACATCACTTCCCTTTTGAAAAACATTCACAATTAATAATGTTAGTTGATTAATTAAAGATCATTAGTTTCCTCCGAACGTTTCCATCTCTTTTGTCATGTCTCTTATCATTGTTTCGCATCTTTTCTTTCCATTTTTTCCCGTTTCTCCACAACGCGTAACACGTACAAAAATCACACATATCCTTTTCTTGGCTACTTTTGGGAAAAGTATGAAAAGTGCACACGCTCGCGTTCGGTCGACCGTGCACACGCACGTACGGGCCGATCCGCACGCGTCTTTTTTTGTTTTTTTTTTTTTTTTCAAAATCACACGCGTCGGCATTTTGCAACTCGCCAAATTGATCGAAAATCATGATTGGCGTCGCGGCATAAAACTGGAAAACGCGGGCAAAATGGACGGCGAACAAAAGAAATGAAGTGAAGAGAAAAAGAAGGACGGAAAAGAAGAAGTATGTACGCGCGCGTTATTTTTTATTCTTTCTTTTTTTTTTTTTTTTCGACCGCTTATACATAACTCGACGACCGATTTTCGATGAAAAGTGAATGAAAAAACTGGACAAGAGGCTTCGTTTGGAATCATTTAAAAAGGTACTCGCGCCGCGAGTATGTTCTCAATAGAGAGAATGAGAGAGACAGAGAGAGAGTGTTTTGTTGCAAAAATAGCCCGAACGGTCGATCGATTCAGGTACATGAAGCGTTTGAGGAAATCAGGCATAGCTAAGTATTTACCATAGTGAACACATTGTGCATATCAATGGGAATTAAAAAGTTCTATACATGTGCCGTAAAAAGGAAACTCATTTCGTTGCATATTAGTGATGAGAGAAATAATTGCCGACCAAACGTATATATTAGTATACAAGTTTATCCGCTCAGCAACAAAACGGATTCGTGTTAAATATAACGTAAGTCAACGCAAACGTACAATATATATCGGCAGAAGGTGTACACTCAAGTTTTATATTTATACGAGATCATATATATATACGTATATATGTATATATAAATAGATATAATATACTACGTATATAGCCTACATATTCCTGGGACACGCGGCACTTGTTCGGGACGAGTAGAATCCGCAGGACATTCTTTATTCTCGAAAATATCGCGAATAAATACAATATTATATATTTAATTGAAGCACCAAAGATTATTGCGCGCGTTATTAACACATCGCGGAATGCTTATATTGCTGAGACTTTCGTTTTCCGAGGTATCCAGTGTATCTGAGAGCAAAAGAAGCTGGCAAGCCGCAAAGAAAAATTGCAAGCCTCGCCCACGAAACAGTGGGTGTGTTCCAGGAAAACGATGCTGTCCATACTGCTAAAGAGAGACGATATGTATATCAGCGATTTAATATGGATACTCACGTCTAGGGGTTTCTTTAATACGATCCAACCAGATTCTGGTTGGATCTCAAAGTACTCCAGATTCTGCTCATTGTTGGGTGAACTCAACGAGTACACGATTGCACCGTTGTTGTCAGCATCCTCGTCGGATGCCGACACTCTTAATATGTTTGTTCCAATGCTCGCGTCCTGCTTCACGTTTTCCACATACCTCTGCAAAACGACAATATCTGATTGATATGTCAATTCGATATTTTTAAAGATATATCGTGAGATTATTAGTTACATTTGATATTTACTCGTAGTTACATCTGTTGTATAAAAATACAATACTAATTTGATCAATTCTAAGCAGAATCGCAAGACCCAAAATTGTTTTCACAAAACTTGAAAGAATTTATAACTGATATTCTAATTTTATGCGTTTGTATCGTAAATTTCTTACAGCTAATAAATCTTACGGCTAATAAGAAACTATCTAAAACTATTGTATAAAGGTAAAAGTAGTGAAAGGCTTAAAAGTTCTTAATAGTCTTACGAGAATATGTTATGAGTCTTACGATTCTGCTTAGAATTTAGGCAATCGTAAGATTGAAAATTATAAAATATTTAGATTCATAATTGCAATTAGTTAGCCCTTCAAAGCTTAACAATGTGTCTCTCACTTAATTATAAATTTCTTTATCAAAAATATCAAACAATTTAGTTTTCTTTATACATTAAATTTGCAAATTCAAATTATTATTCTTATATTATGGTATACTTAGTATTCAATTATAAATCTCTTTGTCAAAATGTTAAACAATTTAATTTTTTTCATTTTTTTTTCTGCAAATTATTATTAAAATACATTCATCCTTTTTTTATGTAATTTATGTCATTTTATTAATTTCTGTGAAATTAATTAGTGCCTTTTAATTAACGTATTATAAATTAAATGAATCTTACAGATTCATCAGTATCTTATTATATTAGATATTTGCATTGGTTTCAGAAATTAAGCAATATAGTCATGTTTCTCACGAAACATTTCTTTTTACAATTAATATCAAATTTTACTTTAACGGAATTTTATTGACTAAGAAAACATAATAACTCAAATTTTCAAATATTCATGTAACGAGTTTGAAATAGAAATGAGCCGAGTCCATAATTTACGAGATCTACTTTAGATATGGCTTCGTGTTGTGGACTTAACAAATTATGGACTTGTTCTCCGTTTACTATACAAATTCTCCATACGTATATTAAATCGATGTAGAGCAAAATGTATGTACTTTGATCGAGCAAACGCGATAAAACTAGTCCAAAGTTACTTCGCGAATATTCTTGAGTTACGTGAATCGAAGCATAACGCACTGATGGTGGCTTCGTCACGCTCAGTCTTACTTCCGGACATCTGCTGCTGCGTTTCTAACCCGTATGGCTTCCTAAATGCTTGCCTTGGGGTTAAGTGTACCCACCTGTCGGTCAAACAGTGGCGGGTTGTCGTTCACATCCGTTATTTCGACGGTAAATGAGCAAACACCTTCCAACGAGGGCTCACCCTGATCCGTCGCCTTGACGGTGACAGATACAAATTTTCCGTCGTCGCCTTCGCGATCGAACACCTATAACAGTCATGTTTGTTATTAAATGCAAATACGTTAACGAAATCTTAATATTTACAATATCTATGAGCAGTTTGCAATATAATATTTTGAAAATTGTCGCACGATAAAACGAAAACCATAGAAAAGAATTGCTTTTATAGAAAACAATAATAAACTATATGATTGAATCAACAACTGATCAAATTTTATTACATTTTTAGAGTACAAACATTTTCGACAATTTGTTGTTCACATTTAATACAATTAACAGAAAAAAAATATATCGTATATTCTCTATTTTTGATACACAGAAAGAATGATTGGTCTAAAATAACTAATTGCATTTGTTGGTCGCTAGACCATTTTTGCAGTATTATTCATCATGCTTGACTTTTCTACGTAATTATTTTGATTGCCCAATAAAATTGTTTTCAGATCTTTCTCTCTCTCTCTCTCTCTCTCTGTATATATCTAAATTTTTATAGATATTTAGTCAAATTGTGTGTATATATATATATATATATATAAAATCATAGTTTTCCATAGTTTTATTATTAATTTGATAGCAGAATGACAACAAATGTGCTCACCAGAAGAACAAGTAGATATATTTTATTGCAATATCTGTTTGTTAGAAATCTTTATGGATTTGCGGCACGAACAGCAATTAGAATTAAGTGCCTCGCATGCTTATCGTTCGGTCTACGATACGTACAAAAGATGGAAAAGTAGAGCTAGAATTAACGATTGTTAGATGTTTTTTAATGTGTTCGGAATACTAAATGCACTCTCCAACGCGAATTGCATTTGTATTATCTTTTAAAGCTGATACATTCTGATACAGTCAACGCAATTTTATAGCTTTATCAAACGTTACTCCAGGTCAAATTAAACACGTTCGGAAGTAAACGTATACGTTTTGTGTAGCTACGTTGACGAAATAAAAATAAAAACAATCAAAATAAAAATATAAAAATAATAGAAATATAAAATATTGAAAAATGTAACATTAAGTGTAAAAGTTTATTAAAGTGCCATGAGTAAAAGACAATCATTAATTGTACCTTATTCGTTAAGACCTGGCCAGTTTCTTCGTCAACGGTAAACTTTGTGCCCTTCTGATTAGGCTGCTGCACGATCGAATACTTGACTTGTCCATTGACACCCTTATCCTCGTCAGTCGCCTGTACCTTAATAACTGTGCTACCGTTTGGCGCACCTTCCTCCACCTTCGGATAATACATCCCGCAATCCTTGAAGACCGGTTTATTGTCGTTCACATCAGTTATAAAAACGACGACAACCGCTGTACTGGTGTGTATGGTTTTATCGCCGTTTGGACAACACGCGCCGTCGTCCAAGGCGGTGACATTCAGCTCGTATTTGTCTCGATCCAAAGAGATTTCTTTCCCGTGAAGACGAATTACACCCGTGATCTCTTCAATCACGAACTGTCCCGACGTGGTGTTCCCACCGACAAATCGGAACCTCACGTTATCGCCGTCCTTATCCGAAGCTACCACGGTGGTGACCAGGGTGTTCGGTCCGGCGTTCTCGTCGACGTTAGGCGTGTAAACCTGCTGGGAGAACTTCGGCTCTTCGTCGTTTTTATTTTTTGTATATATCCGCACTGTCGCCGTGCCAGTCTTTGACGGTTCGCCTGAAAAATACGCTCGTTTAATTATTTATTGAACATTTGAATCTAACGACGGAATTAACTAAGTTCGCGATTAAGAGTAATGCGACGTTTGCAGAAAACGTAACTGTAAAGCCTAATCTATAATGTGCTCTTTTCTTACTATTTTCCTTCTTTAGAGACACGAACCGACACTCGTGTCTCTTCCGAAGTTCGTCACTTTTATCTCGGATGACAGAAAATGAAGAAATAAAATAAAAAGTAAAAAGTTCAAGAAGTATAAAAAAAAATGACAAAAACAAAAACAGGACACAAAGTACATATTACAGAATTAGACTTAAGAGACACATAACTTTTTAATGTATTTAAAATACAACGCAAATCGCGAACATATAACAATATATTGACTTAAACGATACGAATCGCAGCAATAGTAACTTAAATAATTGAATCCAGAATGTGATACGCATATTAAGAAGTATTTACTGCGATGTCAAATTTTCCGATATGAAATACATTCATGGACGCACAATAAATAAAAGCGCACGTGTTATTCGTGCCAATTCGACCGTTTTATTTCCAATTAAGCCGCGACTTGTTTGAAAACCACCCTGCATTCTCACTGTATATATGCAAATAACGCGAATTCGCATCTACAGATGTGAGCTTTATCCTGTGCGACGCGAGACGAGAATTTGGAGCTTGTTTGAAAACCAAATCCGTGAGATTTAGCCGCTCAAGATGATCCTCAGCTTGCTGACGAAACGCTATGAAGGTCGATTTCTTCTTTCCACATACCAAATCATCGAATGACACGAGCAACGATTACGATATTTGAGTCTCTTAAAACGAGACAGAAATATCGAAGAATTTTAATGATCATTCGCGAATGTGATCCGATAAAATGCAATAAAAATTACAAATTCCAATATACATGTACATTGAATTCGATTAACCGCAAATGAAAAAAGAAAACAAAAATGACTTGATTAACATTAGAAGTACCAGTCGTTATTGATCGTTTCTATTTTTTTAGATTAACATTGTATTTTGTATGTGTAAAAGATGATTCTCTGAAATTTTTTTAATTTTTCGGTAATTATGTCCTTATAGTGTCCAAATATTTGCGCTTTCTCTCTCTCTCTCTATTTAATTACTATTTTTATAGTAATTTGTTCCCTTGCTCCTTTTAGTGAGTAAGAAATATTGGAACTTCTAATGTTAAGCCAAAACATATATTTTTTGATAATTATACAGAGTTACGCTATAATCCCAAGCATATCGGCACAATTTGTTCTTCCAAGTGACATACCTTTATCCTTAGCAGTAACGATGAATTCATAATAAGCATTATTGTTATCCGCATCAAGCTGTTTATTGTTGACAATAATACCGTTTGAATCCACACTGAAGTGATCGTCGGATACTAAATATTCTATTTCCGCGTTTGCTCCTGAATCGGCGTCAGTTGCTTTGACTTTCAGTATATTCGTGCCCAACGGAATATCCTCATCGACGTTGTGAGCTTGATAATCCGGCAATTCAAACTTGGGAGCATTATCGTTTACATCTGATACCCTAATTGTTAGCTAAAAGTTAAATAAAAAAATCGTTAGACAGTTATTAAGATAATTAACAGTGAAACATTAATTCGACATTTAGCTTAAAATAGTCAACAAAGTAAAGAGAAACGATCGTGTTTGTATGCAGATTTTGGCGTGTGGTACATTTTCTGAAGAAAAGAATTGTTATATTCTTCGGAAAAAAACACAGCAAAGTTCGAAAGAAACATAAATTTAGTTACCTCGACTGATGTTGAAAAACCGCCCGAGTCCTCCGTGGCCGTCACTATTAGAGAATAAATGTGAGGCTGCCGTAGATCCTCAAAATCCAGTTCTTTCGCAAGTTTTACAATTCCAGAAGTCGGACCGATATTGAATGTACCCGCAGCTCCTTGACCTTGTGCTTTCAGCGTGTAGCGTATCTCTCGATCGGCGAACGACTTAGCTTTCACCGATATTATACTGAAAAGTTTGAACGTGTGACACTCATACCTCGCAAGTTTGATACATCAGAAAAAGCAGAGTTATGATATGGAAAAAAAGTTTGAGAAATCTTGATTACAATTTGTCACGCAGCTTGGTCAAATTTAAATAGAACTTCGAAAAGTCAACTAACCCGAAGACAAACAGTTTTAACAATAAAATGGGCTAAAGTCAAAAGATCGCAGCACAGACTGTTGCATAACGCATAATGCATAGTGCATAAAAAAATCAACCAATCAAAATTTTTCTTTTCCGTGAGATGGGAGGAAAGGAAGGTTTCTGATTGGTTGATTCGCTTATGCATTATGCGTTATGTAAAAGTCTGTGCTGCTGCCTAAACAGTTACGATATTCATGCAAACAATCTTATACAAATATTGTCATTGAGAGTAAATAAAGAACGTTATCATAAACTGGACATGAAAAAGTAATTATAAAAATAGCAAACAAAATATAAACTTGCTTGTATTCTGTAAATGACTAATTTTAGAAAGATTAAATATTCTTTTATTATTATTTTTATCCCTGCAGAGCTGACGTCAAAATCTGTAACATAATTGCTGACGCTGGGTTTGTGAAACCCATTTATTTATGTTAACTAAAAGGTATTAATTAATTTCAGGGAACCAAAATGACACACTGAGAGAAATGTTGCGTATGAATAATTATAATTTTATATCAACAAAATTATGGTTATATAATACATACAAAATATCTCAGTGCATAATTTATACAAAAGAGGAAATGTGTAAATGAATACTAAGTTTATTTTAATAACAACAATTAGAATTTGTAGACGTAGTATAATAAAAATATAATTAAACGGAAATATAAAAAAATATAATTGCATCAATAGACTCACCGTCAGCTCCAGAGAGTTAATTATATTTTTATAAATATCATTATTACAAAATTTATGAGAGTAATAATTTACGATGCAATCAAGACGGAGAAAAACAATTTTACGAAATATCTAAAAATTTCGTTTATATACAATAGATATAAAAATAATTTTGTTTAAACCATCAAAATAATTATACAGGACGCCTAAACTGGTTACTAGAATATTAAAACTTTTTGCGGCGTTCAATTAAGCGTTGATAATTATTTTGACAGTTTAACAAAATATTATTTTCAAATTTGTAAATTTTTAGATACTTCAGTAAAACTACTCTTTTCATGCATTATCGTAAAAAAAAAATTTAGGCTGATCTTTTAGTAAACACAAACTGAAAGAATTAATTGATTCTTAGAATAGACTTGCGAACTAACTCTGAGTCTTTCTTCTGGTTTTCCGGTATCTCAGCCTCGTACGCCGTCATATAGAACTGCGGTGCGCGTTTTCCACCGACGATCGATAGTCTTTCCTCAGGAGTCGACTGGAAACGCCTCTCGTCAATACGACCGTTTTGATCCTCAGCTTTCACATAAAGGACATACTCCATATCCAACTGGAAGAGGTCGGTACCTCGAGTACGTACTACTCCTGATCTCTCGTCGACCTCAAAGCGACCGCCAGCTGTGTGTGTGCAATGTGATTAATTAATTAATTAACTAAAGGAATCAGTTAGGATTCTAACGTTATCTCTGTTAGTTCCGCCAATAAAAATCTTGCAATGCACCAATATTGATTGCATTGTAATCATATTATTATATGATTCCTAGTTCTTATTTATTATTTAGGATTAGAATTTAAATTATAATAAATTAAATTTCTCGCGATTAAAATAGTAAGTAAATCTATAAAAGTTGACATTTGCCGAGAAGCAAATAAAAAAAAAGTAGATTTTAAATGTCATCATATTTATTTGTCACTTCATTATACTGAATGCATTGCATTAATAATACGGAATGGATTTATACTTTATATTGATGTCGCGAAATAAAAATTGCTCATGATATCGAAGCATATTATTATGCATAGAGAAACTCGGCGTAATGGCGTCATTATTATATGAACTTATAAATTTCGGAATATAATACTATAGATCGATGTTGTAATCATCAGGTGCATTTTCGATGAAAATAATGCACAACTTTACGCCGCCGATGCAATGCATGTAGATTAATAATTAGGCCATACTGCGATCTTTCTATATGTTCCTATGTGACGTTTGTTAAATTCAACATATATTTCTCTTATAATTAATAAAACGTTCAATTGACAATTGAATATTCTCCCGTTTAATGAAAAATTTAGTACCGAATTCTCAATTAATAGTTTACTTATACAAACGAGACAGCTGCTTTTTCTAATTGGTTGGTAGCAATGTAGCATTTATCAAAAGCAAGCTTTTATATATTTTTTACCGATATGAAAATTAAATTTTCCTTGCAATAAGATAATGAAATGTACGTACAATATAATAATTTATACGTATAATTACAAACATATATAAAAATCTTTGTATTATAAAACTATTAAGAAAACACGGTTTCTATTAATTATTTTTTATTGATATGTAATAGAATATTTTTACACAAGATTAATTGATAAGACTGGATTATTATAACAAACGTTTTATGATAATTATTATATTTACAAACTTAAAATTAATATATGTATTGATATATCAATAAGGTAAACAGTATAACATACGAACGTGGATATAAAACTAGAATGAATATTTCATAATAAAATGTTTTCAATTGCATATTTTCGTGTTAAACTTTTCTTTCGTGAAATTATCAATTATTTGTTAAAGTAAAGATTTATTAAATTTTGTTTTAATGTATGTACGTACTATATGGATATATTGGAAATTATTTCTCTTTCCCATCTAGTTTTTCAAGTATAGTTGAAAAACAATTTACGTCACTATTGCTTAAATATTGTTTAAATGAGTTATCGAGTTCCTAAAAAGTTTACGTATTCCTCATGCATTTAATTTATTATTTTATCGAGATTAATCTCGTTCTTTATTATATATATTATCAGCGATACGCGAAACGTACAAGTTAATGTTCGAGATATCGAATCCGGATTGAGAGACATTACGTACTTCGATCTCGCACGATGAAATAATGGATGTTGTGGTCGGTGTCAGGATCCCTGGCTTGAAGGGTGAACACGTGAGTGTTCGGCGGTGCGTTCAGCTGGACGACCGTTTGCATCGGTAGTGGCCGATTAATGAAATACGGAGGCTCGTCATTCACATCCTTCATGTTGATGATGACGCGCTGATTGTCGGTATCTATAACGTCACATCGATTATCGCGTACACGTAACAGCCACGCGAATGCATTAACAATGTAGAGCAGCGTTGCGGGTACGCCACTTGCGTGTTGCGAAATTTTAATCTTTATTGCAACGCTGTTTCAGTGCTTATTTTTTAATGGAACACTCTGAAGATTAATAACCTCAATGCGAATCTGTATTTAACCACACAACGAAAGTAAATCATGTTATATTCTTTTATTATGCTTTACGTGAGAGATACTAAATTAGATTTTGTAAGGAAATATGTTGTTGGAAAGCAATTTAATTACTTAGTATATGCTTTCTTTTAAATTGCCTGTAGTTATTTTCTTTCTAAAATGAGAGTTTCAACTAGAACTCAACAATATTTCTCTTTCGATGTTCTTTTCTGTACAAATATATATTGTGTGTGTATGTATATATATATATATATACTTTATATATTCCTAGTTTTTCGTACACAAATGGCGTTCGTGGCAGCGCTGAATAATAAACAGAAATTTATTTTGTAATATATAAAATGCTACTCAAAGCATGAGTAATAAGAATGCACTTCTACAAGTCTTTTGAGAAACATGAAAATGTAATTTGAAAGCAATTTTACAGTAATGTTTAATTTAAGTGTTTAATATATAATAAAGTGGATGAAATAGGGATTGATACTTACATTGAAATCCTTTGGAAACCGATGATGCAAGAAAAGAAAAGAGAGTTACAATTATTATTAGTAATATATACTTGCGGAAAATATTTTTCCCGAGATACAGCAGATAGATATGGCAATAAATATTTTATAACAAATTACAATTACATAATTTTGATTTATAATATGTAGGTAAAGTATATAAATCCCTTATTATTTGTATATTAAAATTATATATGCACATTTTATATCTATCAAGTAATTAACACGAATCAAAATATGGATATTAGAAGCAAATAAAAAGAAAACATAAGAGGCATATTCTTAAATATTTGTTGCCATATATATATATATTTAATCTCGTAAATTTCTGCAAAGTACAATATATTTGTTATCTTGCTAACTTGTTCTTAACCATACAAGAAAAAGAATAGTTTTGATGATCTAAGAATTTACCTAGATACAAATTCGAAAATAATTTTGTTTGAACCATCCAAATAATTTTATTTTCAGATTTATATCTAGCTAAATTTTTAGACGTTCAGCAAAATCGTTCTTCGCATGCACACTCGAAATTACCTAAGTACATGAAACGAGAGATACCACACCCTAAACAGAGTCCCAATGATAGAGCATGAATTATAGAAAAGCGTGTGTACAAGAATGGGCCATGAAATGTGTCAGTTGAGACTATTATTATGCAATACTTATCGAAATAAAATTTTACCATCGTAATATGGACACGGGACACCGGGTGGATATCGCACGCACGGCTCTATACATGCAGAAAATACCGAAGCAAAAATTAATTAAACAATATAAAAATTATAAAAAGATTTTTGCATTTAAATGCTATAAAATTATATAATATAAAATTTAAAAGCAAAATAAATATTTTTCAGAAAATATATCTTTTCCAAAGCGATAAAATCAAACGGATTAAAATTTATGCAGAAACACTTTTTGACTAAAAATTGACATCAAGATCGGAAGGACACAGATAAAATTTGAAAAATTCTTTGTGATAGTACCTGTACCTGTGTTCGTAATAGTAACCCAAAAGTCGATGGTCTTCTCTGGGCCCAATTCCTCATAGTCCCATTTCTGTTTAACCATCACAGAACCATTGGCGCCCACGGTGACCCACTTATTCTCATCTCTTATTTTGTAGGTCTCCTTCTCGTTTTCCTTCTCTAGATAAAACGCGATCTTGCCCTCGATATTTCCGTCCGCTTCTGTGAAGTCGACTTTCTTTGTCGGTCGCACTGCTCTAGTGACCCTTCTCTTCTCTATACGATGCACTTCCGGTGGATCGTCCGGCTCTGAGGTGAGGAACCTCACGATAACCTTGGCCGGTTTCTCAGTGCTGCGGCTCGGCGTGTGTAGGTCGTGCGCTTCAACGATCAACTCGCATTCGCTATCCTGCTCCGGATTGACTTCCGGCTCGCCGGTCAGTAACAATTCGCCGGTCTGTGGTACGACGATCAGTAGGCTACTAGGCGTGACCAACTTGTACGCGACCTTGTCCCCGTCGGCGTCCTTGGCCGTGACTTTGCCCACAGTGGAGAACCTTTTCCAGCCGGGTTGCGCTATGTTATCTTTGCGCAAGATGTCCAAATTCGTTGGTCTAATCTCGAAAATGTACAGCTCGCGTTCGAAGATTGGACTGTTGTCGTTCTGATCCAGCACGTGAACGATACCACTGATCTTCGAAGTGCTGATAAAATTACCATCCGACGCGTGTATCACGACAGTATAGACACCACGAATCTCGCGATCCAGGGGTTTCGCAGTGACCACTCTGACGCCCTGCATTTGGTTCTTCAGGGTGAGATTGAAGCCGCTGTCGCTAGATTCAGTCTCTCGTAGAGCGAAAGGACGTTCTCCGTTATCATCCGGCAGGATCTTATAATGAACCGGAAAGCTGCCACGTGCCCGCAAAACTGGAAAACCGTCTATCCTCGTTCCAATCGGTGAATTCTCCGGTACTTCACCCTCACCCAGACGGTCATGCGAGAAAGTTAGCATGTTTCGGCGATTGATGACGTAGAGATGAAGGTCGTGGGTCTGCGTACCGTTGGCCAGTTCCTCCAGAACGATCAGGTTCACAGAGCGATCCACCAACGGCGTCAGGTCCGACGTCGTCATCACCAGGCCGTTACCCAACACAGTGAAGTACTTGGAGAAACCGGTCTCCAAAAGACGGAAATTGGAGGCGCGACTTGCGTCGCGCCGGAATTGCGTTACCTCGTAACCGGGGTAGACATCGTGCGGCAACACGGCTACCTTGGCATAGGTGACGGAAGTAATTGCCAATAGGAAGACGATGACTTGTGCACGCCACATCCTGCTCTGTTTGTACTACTCTCCCGCTCTCTATCCTCTCTCTTTCTCTCAGTACACCAGATACCTTTACTAGAGCATCAGTATTGGTGCCAACTGGAAACAAATCACAAAAAAAAACTGTTAGTCATGAAAAATTAATTATAATAGGTGAACATAAAAACTCCGCTCGAGAAATAAAATACTATGAAGTTTTTATGAAGAAAATGTAGATAGAAGTATAGTAGTAACAATAAAAGGTAACAAAATATTAGGATATGTGTGTCATTTAACTTAAAAATTTTCACATTTCTTTTATTTAAGAAATAGATTATTTACAATGAACCCGTGTGAAGCTGGCCCCCCCAATGTTAAAAAATCGATTTTTTTCTTCATGCATTCGTTTGCTCATCGTTTGCTCACGAATGCTCACGAATGTTGGAATTTTCGTTTGCTCACCCTTAGTTCAAAAGATACACGAAAATTATGTCTTTGGGGGCCACTAACCCCCCAATATTAAAAAATCGATTTTTTTCTTCATGCATTCGTTATGTCACAAGAATTTGTTACGCTTAACTTATTTTATTATTTAAATATATATTAACTTATTTTATTATTTAAATATTATATAATTATTAATATAAATTTATTATTATCTTATAATTGCTATTTAAATTATTATATCTATTTATATTATGAGGAAAGTTTGTCTAATATCTGGATTAATGGACAATTCTTTTGATTAATAATAGATGATAAGGTGCGCTATATTTGCAACATTTTGTGTATGTGACAAATATGCATCTATGAATTCATTGAAACAGATGAATTAACATAACGATAATGAGGCCACGATGGCTAATGCTCGCGTTTAAGCGGTTCCAGGGATTTTGCATCCATTTTCAATCATTGCAGCATTTGGAATTTGAACAGCCAGAGCTGTAAATTCATTACGCGTGGACAATTTACACGCGCATCCTGTGACACTATGACGACATTTATATATTCGCGTGCAATTACACGCACGTCGGCCGCAACGTGAGAAAGACCTCATATAACGTCATTAACGTACCTCGCACAAAAGCTCATGACCCGTGTTACGTATCGGAAGCAACGCAGCAAATTAACCTTAATTTTATTTTCGATCGAACACTCCCTATACATGATCGTAACGTGCATTTAACACAGTCAATTCCTAACATATATAACTTGTTGTGAAGTGTATCGAGTGTTTCACAATAAGCACACGTTTATCATTTAATTTAATTCTTAAAAAAATTTAAAGAAATATATTATAAAACATATTAATTATAATAAAATTAAAAATAAATAAAATATACCTTATATATATTTAAAGTTAAAAAGAAATTTCAAGAAATATATTAGGGGAAAATATATATATTTCGATAAAATTCGAAATAAAATTTATTTTAACGTTACATTTGTATCTTGTTTTAATTCGAAAAATATGAATGTTGAAAAAATTTCGAAGAATTAAACAGCATCGTATTAATTTTTATTATATATTTTAATATATATTTGTAACTTATTTTTTAACTTATTACTCAATCATAAAAATGGTATGTTGATTTACTTTATTAAAAATATATAATAGTGACAACCGTATTAATTGTATTTCACAAAAATTTCCTTATCGCAATTACATAAATTTTACTTTAATGCTACTATACGTAATATGATATAAATAGCGAACGGCTCTCGTGGAATCTAATACGATCTCATATATCTTTTCGAAATGCGACTATCTTAATCTTGCGCTTTATATTCAATTACGGTAGCACTATTGTTATCATTCGTATAAAATCCGCATTGCACGAAGCGCTTACAATTTCAGTATTATGATAATACTCCAGAAAAGAGGAAACACCGTAATTCCAAAGATAAAGATAAAGCCGCATGTATAACAGTGCAAATTGAACAATATGAATGATAATGTTTCCACATTTTATAAGCTTATTATTATATTTGTTTCGATTATATCTCAATTAAAATTGGAAGGGAATTGAATACAAAATAAAATTAGCTGTTTAAGACAGTTTGTAGAAATGATATATTAAAAAAAGATACACATATTAACATTTTATATTTATTACAGAAGAGGTTTTACATTTATAACGTAAAATGTGAATAATTATAAAGAATAATAATCAACATTTTTTATCATTTTATTCTTTTCAAAATTCGATTGAAATAAAACGATCTGATTGAGAATAAAACATGTGAAGTAAATGCAGATTGTGAGAGAGAAAATTTAATTTAGGAAAGTTTTTATTAAAATTAAATTACTTGATACAAAAGTCGTATCTCGATTAAGTATGCTTTAAGAAAACATTGTTATTCAAAGTGATCGAACTGTGCGATAAAGTATGACGGACAACGCTCCTTTGGTTGTCATACACTGTGCAGGATGCGATGAACAATGTCCGCGTGTACCGGAAATAAGAACCGGCGCGTACGAGTTGACCATTGTCATTTAGTAACCCTCCGTTCCATTTGATTCTATTCACGCCCCAAGAGAACCGGATGTGAGGTCAGCCGCGGCTCGTTTAAGTTTGAAACCGCTCCGACGGTCGTACTGAAAAAAGAAATGTGCGAACATAACTGTCTTTGTGACGTAGGGCGGTTGTAACGTAAACGGCAATATTGGACACGATATTACCTCCGTGCTCTAATATTATGCGAAATAAAACACAGAGACTTATATATTTGACCGTTATCTTCTGTTAGATAAGACATACGAAAAATGTCAGTAAATACAAAATTTAAATATCAGCGAATCAAATGTAATACAGGCTTTCAAATAATCGAAAATTTTGTTGATTAATAATTTGAGTGATAATTATAATATGACAAATGAAAAACAGTGATAAGAGTTAAAACGCAATTAATGGTGCACGAATTATTTAAAACGTGTTTTTAATTAAACTCAATAATAATTCAAGCGTAATTAACCTAACAAATAATTAATTGAAAATATAGGATAATGTAATTATTTCTTTGGAACATTACAATATTTGAATAAAAAAAGAGGTAACAGAATATTTTATACCTACACTATGTTGCAAAAGCTTATATCACTATTTTGTTAGAAATGAGTAAACATTAATTTTTTACGAAAATAAATAAAGGTAGGAAAATGTATGCATTTGATTCTTTCAGAGTAGATTTAAATAATATTCTCTCGGCTACGTAAATTAATCTCGGCTCACATATATATAATTACACCAATCTACAAAACACGTCGGAAGTGCGCGCGTCCACATCTCTGAAAATTATGGTATTTGCTCAGTTTCATCTAGTTTGCATGTTGCTCGGCTTCTTTTACTGTTATTCGCCTTCTCTTTCCTACTTATTATTCTTTTACGTTGTTACAAGTATGTTGTAAAGACTTCTAAGAGCAACTCATTCCGCTATTTCGCCAACTGTTGCGTTAATAGTATGCGAATTTCTCGCAATCATACGAAACGATAATAAATTCACGTTCGTCCCTTCGTCCAACGACGCGAGCTGCCAAGTGCTTTGTGCGGAAACCACGTACTCGCAACAAGACAATACCACAGAGTGTTTTCAAGAACTCAATCCACACCGCGCAGCAACTGTTTCTATAACAACGTACCGGGTCCCGCATCCTCCGGCAACCGCCCGCAATACAGGTCGCGCAGGAGTTTGCAATCTCTTGATACCGCGATACGCGTATACGAGGATCCAATTCAAATTTGAAACAAGCTACCATAAACACGCGAACAAATCTTGAGATCACCTATCGACGATGGAATCAAATTCTTCGTAAACAAAAGTTTCGAAGATCATGATCTTCAAACAGGTTTGAATTTATTCGTTAAAATTAAATCAGAACTCTTGAACTCTTGTATTTGGTCTACAACTTAAGTCTTGGCCCCTGTATTTAATCGACTACAGCATTTATTCAAATTTGATTCTTTTTCTCGCCATACTGTCGCTTTGAAGCTTTAAAATAAAGATTAATAAGTGTCGGTATCTAACTTTTAAAAATCTAACTTCAAAAAATAGTTAATTGAAAGCTGTGCCGTTTAAAGAGCAAAATTTGAGGCACTGCCTCCTTTTCGCGTTCCAGCTGAAGAAAAATAGAAACTTAAGAAATGATTCGCTCAGCTTTAGGCGAAAACTCTGTGCCGTACAGTGTATGTAAAAAGTGGTTTTCAAAGATTTTGTGATAGCAATTTCAATTTAGAGGATGAAAACGCCCAGGTCAATCGAAGAAAGTGGAAGATGAGGAATTGGAACAGCTTTTGGACGAAATCCTTGTCAAACGCAATCAGAGCTTGCGAATGCACTTGCGGTAGGCCAACAAGCCATTTCGAAACGTTTGTGGAAACTTGGTATAGAATTCAAAAGGAGGATCGTTGGGTTCCACAAGTGCTAACGCCTGAAAACAAGAAGAAACGCCACAACACGGCTATCTGCCAAAGTTGTCCAAGTTAAAAAAAAAGACTTTCTACATAAAATATTAACTTGTAATGAAAAAAATTTGGGTTGTCTATGATAACCCAAAGAGACGAAAATCTTGGGTTCAAATCCAGGTCAACTATCAACCAGCACCGCAAAATCAAACATTTACAGCAAAAAGGTATTGCTGTATTTGGTTGAATCAGAAGGGCGTTGTTTACTATGAGCTGCTCCAACCTGGGAAAACGGTTACTGCTGAGTGTTATCAACAGCAACTGCTTCGAGTAAATGACATCCTCGAAGTAAAAAGACCGTTTACTGGCGCTGGAAGAAGAAAAGTGGTTTTGCTGCAAGACAATGTGCGCGGCCGCACATGGCAAAATCAACGATAGAAGTCATCTCCGATTTGAGGAAATTCTTTCTCACGCGGTATATCCTCCGGACTTCTATGGGTTATATATACCATCTTTTTCGGACCTTCCAACATCATCTGGTTGATTCCCAGTTCAAGTCTCTCGAAGAAGTCGAAAGAAGCATTATAGAATACATCGACTTAACTATCTTTTTTCCGAAGCGGA